CGCTGGTAGTGGTGGTGGTGGTGCTACAGGCGGTGTACAATCTGGCGCACATGGACTGCAAGTGCCACCTGCTTTTTGGCCGCTGCATGCTGAAGATCTGCTGGCAGCAGCTCGCCGACTTCCACCAAGTTGGGAACTTGCTGAAGGTGAGCTGCTCACAGCTGCTGGGTGGGACTGCCCCCAGAGGGAGTGTGGGTGTGACGAGGATTCATCCATTGGGGGGTTACAGGCGGGGGGGGGGGGGTCCCTAACAGCTAAGGGAGCTCCCCGCATTCACTCGACAACCACCACATCCCCCGATGATGGTGGTGATGGTGATGATGGTGGTGGTGTTGGTGGTGATGATGATGGTGGTGGTGATGATGGTGATGATGGTGATGATGATAATGATGATGGTGATGATGATGATGATGATGGTGATGATGGTGGTGATAATAATGATGATGGTGATGATAGTGATAATGGTGATGATATTGATGATGATAATGATGATGACGATGGTGATGATGGTGGTTGCAGCACAAGTACGACACAAGTTCCGCCATGCGGCTGGTCCGCCACAACAGCAGCAGCAGCGTTGCCGGTGCCACCCGCTGGTCCCGCTGGCGTCTGGAGCCGGTGAACGAGCGCTTGACGGCGCCCACGGCGAGCGAGCTGGTGCACGTGAGCGCCAGCCCCGGCTACTGCGAGCGCAACGACGCCAGCGGCATCCCCGGCGCGGTGGGGCGGCGGTGCAACGTCACCTCCGAGGGCAAGGAGGCATGCTCCGTCATCACGTGCTGTGACAGAGGATACGACATCTCACAAGGTGAGCCCCTCGCCCCTCACCTCTCCCTAACCCCCCCCCCCGAAAATTAACTAAAACTAGTCATTAAAAATTAACCCGTAAAAACAAAGTTTTTCACTATAAATCCTTTATATGCGTGACGGCTCGAGTCCTCTCATCCTCTGGCTTGAGATGGCTGCCACCTGTGGGTCAGATGATTGCCTGCCACCATTAAGCAATTGGTAATTAAATATAAAAAATTTTCCTAAAAAGTGTGAAGTTATGGAAAATAAATTGTCATGCACAACGAGTTTGTGTGCAAAATGTCAGCTCGATTGGATCACGGGAAGTGGGTTAAAAAACGACCGAAAGATTTGCACGGTCGTAAGCGCGCAAGCAAGCAAGCGCGCAAGCAAGCGAACTTAATATAAAGGATTTAAAAAGCAACAACTATTTCATATTTGACCAGGCAAGGCCCAGTGAGCTACAGTGAGGGAAAAAAGTATTTGATCCCCTGCTGATTTTGTACGTTTTCCCACTGACAAAGAAATTATCAGTCTGTAATTTTAATGGTAGGTTTATTTGAACAGTGAGAGACAGAATAACAACACAAAATCCAGAAAAACGCATGTCAAAAATGTTATAAATTGATTTGCATTTTAATGAGGGAAATAAGTATTTGACCCCCTCTCAATCAGAAAGATTTCTGGCTCCCAGGTGTCTTTTATACAGGTAACGAGCTGAGGTTAGGAGCACACTCTTAAAGGGAGTGCTCCTAATCTCAGCTTGTTACAATGAGGGAAACAAGTATTTGATCCCCTGCTGATTTTGTACGTTTGCCTGCTGACAAAGAAATGATCAGTCTATAATTTTAATGGTGGGTTTATTTGAACAGTAAAAGACAGAATAACAGCAACAAAATCCAGAAAAACGCATGCCAAAAATGTTATAAATTGATTTGCATTTTAATTGTCTCCACGCATGCACCAGTCTCTCTCTAATCACCCTGTCCCCATACCACTTCACACTGTTCTTCACCACTATACAGTAGTACCGTACACACACGCAGTTACATTGAACATGTATTGCTTTAGAACTGCTTTCCGTGAACCTTAGGTCAATGTCACCCCCACCACCACCCCCACCACCACCACCGTCATCGTCATCGTCACTACCACCACCACCATCACCACGACCACAGTCACCACCACCACCGTCAATGTCACTACCACCACCACCACCATCATCATCACTACCAGTCACCACCACCACCGTCATCGTCACTACCACCACCATCACCATCACCACTACCACAGTCACCGCCACCACCGTTATCGTCACTACTACCACCATCACCATCATCACGACCACAGTCACCGCCACCACCGTTATCGTCACTACCACCACCACCACCACCATCATCATCACTACCACAGTCACCACCACCACCGTCATCGTCACCACCACCGTCATCACCATCACCACTACCACAGTCACCACCACCACCACCGTCACTACCAACCGCCATGTGCTGACAGGTGGCAGTGACGTCACGACGGCTCTTGTGATGGCGTCCGGGGATGGAATTCCTTTCCAGCCCAGAGGCTGCCTGCCCTGCACCACGTATACAAACCCTCGTTGTAACAGGTCTCTCTAGGCTGGCTCAGCAGTTGAACTGCTGTGTTTTATCTCTCTCTCTCTCAAATGTCGGCAAGAAGCGCGCGGAGATTTTCCACCTCGTGACGTCAACGGCGATCGCAAAGTTGCGATTTAAAAAAATCTCGTGGTCAGAACGACGACCGGTTCCGCGCGTCCGTTTCGCACCGACTCCTCTGCTGCTGTTCCCTTCCCAGTCACGGTGGAGAAGCAGTGCGGCTGCCAGGAGCAACTCCACTTGAACGTCGATTGCAAGCTGTGCCCATCGACCGTCGATCAATTCTTGTGCAAGTAGCCTCAAGACGCTGTCGAGGGATGGCCTCGGCTGAAATCCCGATTCCATTTGGTTTCAGCCGGGTCCTGTGGGTGTGTTTGGTGACCCCCCCACAAAGTTTGTTTGGGGCACCGGTATCACAGCATCCAGCATGCGCATGACTACGTGACACGATACATTACACGACTACAAATACTACACTTTGATACACTGCACCTTGACACACTACCCCGCTATGCACTTGTCAACATCCGCATGTGGTGAATTTCCACAATGCAGAAGCGCTGTTGCTTTTTGACCGTCGCCACTTGATTGCGGTTAGCAACTCGGTGGCGTTGTTGTTGTTGTTCCTTTCTACTCCGTTCTTGTTGACGCCGCGTTTGGCAATTTTCCGAAGCGTTCACTGGGCACAGTGAGGATGGACAATGCAGAGCGGGAGTGTGTGAGTGAGTGTGTGAGTGTGTGTGTGAGTGTGTGGGCACAGTGAGGAGTGACAATGCAGAGCGGTGAGTGTGAGTGTGTGAGTGAGAGTGTGAGTGTGTGAGTGAGTGAGTGTGTGGGCACAGTGAGGAGTGACAATGCAGAGCGGTGACCCCTACACAAGTGATTTAGCGAGCCGCCCCCCTGCAGCATACGTCATCATACCCTTCACTGAGCCGCGTGACGCTCTATACACTTTACACTTGAATACAATCTTGCAGAAAAAAGTCATTTTCTGTGTCTATCTCTGTGTGTGTGTGGACATCGGGGATGCCTTCCTGAGTATGGAAACGGCGTTAAACCGAAGCGATTGATAGTGTGGTGGTGGTGGTGGTAGTAGGTGAGGTTTTCGTCGAGGATGCGTTCCTGAGTATGGAAACGGCGTTATACCGAAGCGATTGTTAGTGTGGTGGTGGTGGTGATAGTAGGTGGTGATGGTGGTGGAGGCGAAGGGGCTGAGAGGGTGGCGGTGTTAATCACGTGACCACGTCATTTGCGAAATGACGTTAAATCGGAGTAACGCTGCAATTTCTGTGTTTTTTGGAGTTTGCTGTGTGCGTTTTGGGTCTCGATTAAGTCGGCTGTGGTGTTCACGATGGCGTATAGCGGTGCACTAGTTCTGCATCGATTGTTAATGATCACCAGGGGCGGGAGGAGTGGGCGTCCTCATGGATCCCGTACCGCTCTCCAGCACGCCTTATCCCACTGGAACAGTTTCATTATCGATCAACTAGAATCTTTCGATTTAAAGCTTTCGTGACTGCAGGGATTCATCTTCTTGGTTCTTTCGGTAAAGTCACGTAGAAGGGAAGTAATAAAACATAAATACAATTCTCACGACGTTTCAGCCACAACGCAAGCAGCCGTCCTCAGGTGAAGAACAGGTCTGTCGGGAAGACAGCGTCTGAATGAAACACCACCAGGCTTGGCAGCGTATATTTAAGCTGGGATGGAGGGGGGAAGAGCGCCTTGACAAAATAATTTGCATATCGAGGAATTTAGCATATTTATGGGAAATGCAGATATGGGATTAGTACCACTTGTGAAATGCGTAGGAGGTGGGCGGGGGGTCTCAAAGTCATATTATGCCCGTGCATTATGCAGGATTAGCAGCATCAGAATCATGCAACATTCGCGAGTTTCCTCTCCGTCTGTCCACGCGTGTGATACCTCCCCAATTCGGTACTTCGGACGACGGCGAAAAAACCCACAAATGTGTGCGGAGTGATGATTGATGATGATGGTGATGACGATGATGACGATGATGATGATTGATGATGATGATGATGGTGGTGATGATGGTGATGATGGTGATGGTGATGATGGTGATGATGATGATGATAGTTTAATGATCCAGGAGGCTGCACAGTGTCACGGAGACTCTCCACTCAATAGGGCCCTTCCACATTCGGGGTTTTTGATTTATGTTTCATCGCAGGATATTGTCAGCCAATGAGTAAGTTGCGTGCACCGCAAGGGTAGGAGGAAATCTGAACATCTCGGAGAAAAGCCGCTCCTTGCACGAGGGGGAAACACTGGCACAAGCGTCGTGGTGACGTCACCGCCACTTAGTGGCGAATGGCGGTTGTTGTGTGCGGGGGTGTGTGTGTGTGTGTGGGGGTGTGTGTGGGTGTGTGTGGGTGTGTGTGGGTGTGTGTGATGGAGTGTGTGTGTGAGTGTGTGTGGGTGTGGGAGTGTGTGGGTGTGGGAGTGTGTGTGGGAGTGTGTGTGGGAGTGTGTGTGTGTGGGGGTGTGTGAGTGGGTGTGTGGGTGGGTATGTGAGTGTGTGGGTGTGTGTGAGTGTGTGGGTGTGTGTGGGTGTGTGGGGGTGAGTGTGTGGGTGGGTGTGTTAGTGAGTGTGTGGGAGTGTGTGAGTGTGTGTGTGGGAGTGTGAGTGTGTGTGGGGGTGTGTGACTGTGTAACTGTATGGGTGTGAGAGTGAGTGTGTGTGAGAGTGAGTGTGAGTGTGGGTGTGTGTGTGTGAGTGTGTGGGAGTGTGGGAGTGTGTGAGTGTGTGTGGGGGTGTGTGACTGTGTAACTGTATGGGTGTGAGTGTGTGAGTGTGTGGGGGTGAGTGTATGTGTGCATGTGTGTGTGTGCGACCCACTCCCCGTGCCGACCATCGAGCTGCCTGAACATCATCACACGGCGAAGGTCTCCGACACTCGTCCTGTTCTCTCTTCGCGTCTGTCCATCGGCGGCTGCGCGTCTACGTACCTGTCCCTACGCACGTTCTGCATTCCCAGCGCCACTGTCTGAAGAAGGACAAACAGAAGGTTCGTCTTCTTGGTTCTTTGGGTAAAGTCATCACGTAGAAGGGAAATAATAAAATAATAAAAATACAACATAGTCACGTAGAAGGGAAATAATGAAATAATAAAATTTACACATTAAGTCATGTAGAAGGGAAATAATGAAATAATATTAATATAAAACAACAATTATCACGACATTTCGCCTGCAACACAAGCAATCGTCATCAGGTGTGAAATCCACAGCAAGAAAATTTGAAAAAAAGTGGCGGTTTGTCGTGACGTCAGCACCACGGACAGCGATTTGGCAGTTGGCCAGATGGACGAGTCCATCTCTGTTCGGGTCTTCACGCTCACGTGACTTGCAGACGCAGCCCGTTGTCTGCTGCCCCCTCCTCTTCTCCCCGAACGGAGATGGACTCGTCCATCTGGCAAACTGCCAAATCGCTGTCCGTGGTGCTGACGTCACGACAAACCGCCACTTTTTTCAAACTTTCTTGCTGTGGATTGCACACCTGCCGACGATTGATTGTGTTGCAGTCGAAACGTCGTGAGAATGTGTTTTATTGTTTTATATTTTTATTATTTCATTATTTCCCTTCTACGTGATGATTTTACCGAATTCAAGTTTCTAGAATCAACCCACCCGCGCCTGCAACATGGCTTCATCCCAGAGGTCGCAATCAGGTACCCGATACCCGTACCCTACCCGTACCCGGCTGGGTACGGGTACGGGTAGGGTACGGCCGGGTACGGGTACCCGTTTGCGACCCTGGTGCGGCCGGGTACGGGTAAGGAATCAAAACCCGTTTGCGAGCTCTGGCGTGAACGTGAGACCTCGTCAGTGACACACCGAGTGTGGGGCCACGGAGAGAGAGAGCTCCGGCCGGCTACCCACGTCAATGCTCATTCACCAGGGGGGGCCGGGCGATCCGGCTGCCCGGGCCCTGAAGGCCGACGGCGTCTCCTCCTCCTCCTCCTCCTCGTGTTGTTCCCCTTGCAGACGGAGACGACGTAGACCACGACAGCCACAGGCGCCAGCACCCCGGCCACCAGCAGCCCTGCCCTGTGCGGCGGCGTCTCCCCTGGAGGGGCGGCGGTGGCCTCGCTCAGAGCCCCGCCGTGTGGCCGCCGTGGGGCTGCAGAGACACAGAGACGGGGGGGGGGGGGGGGCTCAGGGTGACCCCCACTCGCACCCTGCACCACCACCTCAAGCGGCGACTCGACACGGCTTCACGTGCAGCAGGGAGAGACACTCACTCAACACGGCTTCACGTGCAACAGGGAGAGACACTCACTCAACACGGCTTCACGTGCAGCAGGGAGAGACACTCACTCAACACGGCTTCACGTGCAGCAGGGAGAGACACTCACTCAACACGGCTTCACGTGCAGCAGGGAGAGACACTCACTCAACACGGCTTCACGTGCAGCAGGGAGAGACACTCACTCAACACGGCTTCACGTGCAGCAGGGAGAGACACTCACTCAACACGGCTTCACGTGCAGCAGGGAGAGACACTCACTCAACACGGCTTCACGTGCAACAGGGAGAGACACTCACTCAACACGGCTTCACGTGCAACAGGGAGAGACCACCCATTCAACACGGCTTCACATGCAACAGGGAGAGACACTCACTCAACACGGCTTCACGTGCAGTAGGGAGAGACCTCTCACTCGGGATTGACATCGTATCGAAATTGCGAAGAGTCGCGTCGCCGCGCGGCGAGCGTGGCCGTGTCAGCCACGGCGCAACCGGCGCCGCGAGCTCCGCGCTCGGCTCACCCGCAGCCGTCACGTCCTGCAGCTGCAGCAGCAGCTCCGCTTGCACGGCGGCGTTCCCCGCGGCGTCACAGCGGCGGCAGTCGACGCGGCACAGGGCGACGGGGCCGAGGCTCCCGGGGAAGTTGGGGATGCCGACGGAGCAGTCTCCCGCGAGCACGTCTCCCGCGGACTTGGCGACGCTCGAGTCGTCCGCCGTCTCGTCGCCCGAGAAGTAGATCTGCCAACGACACCGAGCGCGACGTGGGACGGTCGAGCGCGATCGCACGCGATGCCCGCCGTCGAATCGTCGTGAGCTGAGCCGGGCTCGGTGAGCTCGGTTAACTCCCTACACGGGAGAGCTCTTGGGCGATGGCAAAATATGAACGTTGAGTTTGCGTCGAGTTCTTGGTTCTTTCGGTAAAGTCGTCACGTAGAATGGAAGCAGCCATCCTCAGGTGAAGAACAGGTCTGTCGGAAAGACAGCGTCTGTTGCATTCATCTTCTTGGTTCTTTTGGTAAAGTCACGTAGAATGGAAATAATAAAGAACAGGTCTCCACCTGAGGACGGCTGGTTGCGTTGTGGCCGAAACGTCGTGAGAATTGCATTTTATTATGTTTTATTTTTATTACTTTATTACTTCCGTTCTACGTGGTGACTTTACCCAAAGAACCAAGAAGATGAATCCCTGCAGTCACGAAATCAGCTTTAAATCTAAAGACAATCACTAGTCACGACTGACGTGAAATGCGAGCCCCACCAAGGTCATGTCTCCACTGGTGACGTTCTCTGCGTAGCGTCTGGGCATCGTGAACCACTGGACGACGACGTGGTCCAGGTGTGTGGCCGGTGGGGAGAAGGAGCAGGGGAGAGTGACGTTCTCTCCCTCCCTCACAGACAGACTCTTCGGGAGAGTGAGCTGGAGCTTGACAGCCAACGCCGCATCTGCAGAGAGACCGGTCACGCTCGTTACGCATACACCTTGTTGACCATGCAAAACAGATTTAACTACGCATCAAAACGCTATACCACAGAGCTCATGGCATTTCTGACCAACACCACCTGGCCAGTGAATTGAGACATGTACATCGGGCCCTCAGGACGAACGGATACTCTGACCGCACCATCCGCCAAGCTGTTTCTCCCACCATACAGAAACAGCCACTTGAAACTCCGATCAAAACCATCACGTTGCCATACATAGCAGGCGTGACCAAAAAGATCTCCAAAATTCTAAACAAACATAAGATCCAAGTCCGATTCAGTACAGTACATAACATCCGTGATCTAATTCCATCTGTGAAAGATGTCATTCCTGACTTACAATACCCTGGAGTCTACAAACTGAGTTGCAGTGGTGGTGATTGCTAGATTGGAGAAACGAAACGCCATGTCTCTGATCGTGTCCGCGAGCACAAGTCAGATCTGAAACACGGCAGAACTGATTCTTCCGCCGTTGCCGATCATTGCTACAACGCTGTGGGCTCTCATGAAATTGTCTTTTCCGAGACCAAGGTGCTCTGCAAACCTCCTGGCTACCATCAAGGGTTTTTACACGAAGCCATCCAAATATACAAACACAGACATAATTTCAACCGTGATGATGGGTACAAACTGAGAAATCATTGGAAAGATGTTATTGACCATGCGAAAAAGATTTAACTACACATATTTGGACCATCTTATTTGACAGACAACTATTCCTTAGTTACCGTACAGTTCACTGATAGACAGCCACTGGCACGCCCAGGGCGGTGTCACAGGGGTCGCATCGCCGTGAGCTCCTCGTCGTCCTCACGGTGGGAGATTTAAAAACAACTATGACAATTAGCAGGTGAAATGTGACCCTTTTAATCAAAAGTTACCTGGCCACAAATGCGGAAATTTATCGCAGAAAAGTCATCGGAATGCACGTCGACTCGAAATGTGGAGGAAAAAACAGAGGACCCGGAGACAAATCCACGCGGCCACAGGGACAGACTCGCAAACTCCAAATATACAGCAGCAGGCATCAGGGTCGGGATTGAACCCACGACCTCCTGTACACCAGGCGAGGTAGTTAACATCTCCTAGCCCCCGTGATGATGATGAGAGAGACACCGCAAACTCCAAATATACAGCAGCAGGCATCAGGCTCGGAATTGAACCCACGATCTCCTGTACACCAGGCGAGGTAGTTAACATCTCCTAGCCACCGTGATGATGACGATGAGAGAGGGAGACTCGCAAACTCCAAATATACAGCAGCAGCAGGCATCAGGCTCGGAATTGAACCCACGACCTCCTGTACACCAGGCGAGGTAGTTAACATCTCCTAGCCACCGTGATGATGACGATGAGAGAGAGAGACACGCAAACTCCCAATATACAGCAGCAGGCGTCAGGGTCGTGATCGAACCCACGACCTCCTGCATTCAAGGCGAGGCAGATCGCAGTGACCTCTCACCTAGCTAACGAAAGGGCACCGTCCAATGTGTGCTGGGTGAGTGTCTCTGGGTGTGAACTCACCCAGAAGGAGGAAGACGAACAGTGAGATGAGGACCGGCTTCATGGCCGGCTCTGTCTGCTGATGATCGCAAAAGAGAACGAGCCATTAGTCCATCTCACGGCCGCACTCCAACGGTTCACACTCCCTCACTTTCACATCACTCCGCTTCAACATCTTTCCATTCGTGACATCGGCGATGAGTTTCATCTTTTTGCATTCGGTTTTCCCATCTGCTATAATATAAACGCACGCTTAATTTCTACACGCCAGAGGTCGATACCCGGCTACCCGTACCCGGCCGGGATTTCATTTATACCTGATGATGATTGCTTGTGTTGCAATCGAAACGTCGTATGCTTGTATTAAATGTATTATTTTATCTTTACACGTGACTTTACCGAAAGAACCACCAAAGAGTAATTCCTGCAGTCACGAAAGCTCCAAATTAAGTTTGAATGTTTGCGTGTCGTTAAACCGACCATCAGCCGACACAGCCAGTTGGCAAGGTTTATCACGCGAACACACCGTGCCAATCTGTCACTGGAGCAGCACTAACCGGTTGTGTGTTGGAGTGTCTGTGTGTGTGTGTACACACTGTGTGTGTGTACACACGTACACACACACAGTGTGTACGTGTGTACACTGTGTGTGTGTGTGTACACTGTGTGTGTGTCTGTGTGTGTACACTGTGTGTGTGTGTACACACTGTGTGTCTGTGTGTGTGTCTGTGTGTGTGTGTACACTGTGTGTCTGTGTGTACACTGTGTGTCTGTGTGTGTGTGTACACTGTGTGTGTGTACACTGTGTGTGTGTGTACACTGTGTGTGTGTACACTGTGTGTGTGTATACACTGTGTGTCTGTGTGTGTCTGTGTGTGTGTGTACACTGTGTGTACACTGTGTGTCTGTGTACACTGTGTGTGTGTACACTGTGTGTGTGTATGTGTGTGTGTACACTGTGTGTGTGTCTGTGTGTGTGTACACTGTGTGTGTGTATACACTGTGTGTCTGTGTGTGTCTGTGTGTGTGTGTACACTGTGTGTGTGTGTACACTGTGTCTGTGTGTACACTGTGTGTCTCTGTGTGTACACTGTGTGTGTCTGTGTGTGTGTACACTGTGTGTGTGTGTACACTGTGTGTGTACACTGTGTGTGTGTACACTGTGTGTGTCTGTGTGTGTGTATACACTGTGTGTCTGTGTGTGTCTGTGTGTGTGTGTACACTGTGTGTGTGTGTACACTGTGTGTCTGTGTGTACACTGTGTGTCCGTGTGTGTACACTGTGTGTGTGTCTGTGTGTGTACACTGTGTGTGTGTATACACTGTGTGTCTGTGTGTGTGTCTGTGTGTGTGTATACACTGTGTGTGTGTGTACACTGTGTGTGTACACTGTGTGTGTGTGTACACTGTGTGTGTCTGTGTCTGTGTGTGTGTACACTGTGTGTGTGTATACACTGTGTGTCTGTGTGTGTCTGTGTGTGTGTGTACACTGTGTGTCTGTGTGTACACTGTGTGTCTGTGTGTGTGTATACTGTGTGTGTACACTGTGTGTGTCTGTGTGTGTGTACACTGTGTGTGTATACACTGTGTGTCTGTGTGTGTGTGTACACTGTGTGTGTGTACACTGTGTGTGTGTGTACACTGTGTGTGTGTACACTGTGTGTGTGTACAATGTGTGTGTGTGTGTACACTGTGTGTGTGTGTGTACACTGTGTGTGTGTGTGTGTACACTGTGTGTGTGTTCAGCACGCCCGGCGGACCCGTTATTCGATCCCGACTCCTGCCGGGGGAGGCGCTCCGGGCGCGGCGGGTCCGCTAGGAAAACTCGGGATGGCCCGAGGCCGACTAGGCCGCAGTCTTCCCTCCCCTCTGTTCTAGATGGTGACGATGTTGCTGATGTTGTTGTTGATGCTGATGATGTTGTTGATGTTGATGTTGTTGATGATGTTGTTGTTGATGTTGTTGATGTTGTTGTTGATGTTGCTGTTGTTGTTGTTGCTGATGTTGTTGTTGATGCTGATGTTGTTGTTGATGCTGATGATGATGTTGATGCTGATGTTGTTGTTGATGCTGCTGATGATGTTGTTGATGCTGATTGCTGATTATGTTGTTGTTGATGTTGCTGATAATGTTGTTGATGCTGATGATGTTGTTGATGCTGCTTCTGATGATGTTGATGATATTGCTGCTGATGCTAGGGGTGGTGATGATGTTGCTGATGATGGTGTAGATGATGTTATTAATGATGTTGCTGATGCTGATGATGTTGTTGATGCTGATGATGTTGTTGTATATGATGGTGTAAATGATGTTTATTGATAATGTTGATGATCGCAAACATCAACATAATTTATTAATTTATTCAGTTAGGGTCGCCTCTCATTGTGGGAGGGGAGGGTCTTGTACCCCAGAAGTGACGTCACGTCATCTGCAGCCGCGTGACGTCATCTGCTGCCGCGTGACGTCACGAGCTAACAGGAAGCTGGAGGTCCGCGTGTGAACTGCAATCCGAGGTGAGAAATTTTCATCGTTGTGGTTGTTGTTGTTGTGGTTGTTGTTGTGGTTGTTGTTGTTTACCAAGCTAGAGCCTCGCTCTCTCTCTCGTAGGGATGTCACTAGAGCAGCAGCAGCTTGTGAATCGATGTCCAAGTTGGAACTTTACAACGCGGGGCCTAGACACGCGGGGCCTTGCCTCCTGCCCTCGCCTGGTCGCGTTTGCTTTAATTCCCTCCCTTAAGTTTAATTTGTCTTCACGCGGCTCGCTACTTTGTCACTTTGGTTTACTGTAGATATTGACGCAGTTTTTCTTTTGTTTTTTACCAGCCCATGCCCGCCTGAGCTGCTGTACCGCTCTTGTTTACAGAAGCTACCTGCCCACAACAACAACAAGGTGGGTTTTGTCAACGCGTGTCTCGGTGTTTTGACTTAAAACTTTAGTAACTGCAGCAATTCATATTCTTGGTTCTTTCGGTGAAGTCACGGAGATAAAAAAAAATAACAGATAATAATGTTAAATAAAATTTAAAAATTGCAGATAAAGAATAAACCCACGACGTTTCGATCGCCACACAAGTGGTCATTATTTAATTTAATTTCATGATCTGTTAATTGTATTTGCTATTTACGTGACTTTACCGAACGAACCAAGACTACGTGTGTCAATGTCTGTCTGTTAAAGACGCTGATGTTGAATGTGGAGGGGAAAACCGGGAGGGGGGTCTGGTGTAAACTCCACACCACCACTACCTGTTTACCATGGCACTGTGTGTGACAGTGTCAAGTTTGTGTTTGCAGTAAAGTCTAACAACTCTGTGTGTGACAGTGTCAAGTTTGTGTTTGCAGTAAAGTCTATCAACTCTGTTGTGACAGTGTCAAGTTTGTGTTTGCAGTAAAGTCTAACAACTCTGTGTGTGACAGTGTCAAGTTTGTGTTTGCAGTAAAGTCTAACAACTCTGTGTGTGACAGTGTCAAGTTTGTGTTTGCAGTAAAGTCTATCAACTCTGTTGTGACAGTGTCAAGTTTGTGTTTGCAGTAAAGTCTATCAACTCTGTGTTGTGACAGTGTCAAGTTTGTGTTTGCAGTAAAGTCTATCAACTCTGTTGTGACTGTGTAAAGTTTGTGTTTGCAGTAAAGTCTATCAACTCTGTTGTGACAGTGTCAAGTTTGTGTTTGCAGTAAAGTCTAACAACTCTGTGTGTGACAGTGTCAAGTTTGTGTTTGCAGTAAAGTCTAACAACTCTGTGTGTGACAGTGTCAAGTTTGTGTTTGCAGTAAAGTCTATCAACTCTGTTGTGACAGTGTCAAGTTTGTGTTTGCAGTAAAGTCTATCAACTCTGTGTTGTGACAGTGTCAAGTTTGTGTTTGCAGTAAAGTCTATCAACTCTGTTGTGACTGTGTAAAGTTTGTGTTTGCAGTAAAGTCTATCAACTCTGTTGTGACAGTGTCAAGTTTGTGTTTGCAGTAAAGTCTATCAGTGTGTGACAGTGTAAAGTATATTAACTCTGATGAACACGGAGGTTGTATCAAAACAATAGTTTATTTTAGTTTTCCTCTGGAACTCTTTATAAGAGTGGAAGCAGGAAGTTAGCACAGCACACACACGTGCAGCAGCTGACGTCAGATCTGTTCATCCCATCATTCAAGGACATCTGAGCCTGGCTTCATACCGCTAAGTTGCCACTGAACAACATTCCTGCTGCTGCGGAGGGAGCTGGTAGGAACGTCGGGTTGCTCGCTCAATGGCCTGCAGGGTCAACGGCGGCGTGGTGCATTCCGCAAATATGCCCGACTGTGAGGGCGGGCACACGCCGGCGTGAGTAGGTGAAACGTTGAGTTTTATAAGGGCACCACGGGGTGGCCAGCCCCTCTCCACCCAGCCCCACCCCTCCCACCCCCCACCCAGCCCCACCCCTCCCACCCCCCACCCAGCCCCACCCCTCCCACCCACCACCCAACCCCACCCAGCCCCTCTCCACCCTCTCCACCCAGCCCCTCCCTTCACGACGGACACAACAATCCCCTGTGGGCTGGTGTAACCAGGAGGTTCCTACCAGTATTAATTTACACATTTCTGCATAACACAAATAGGATTGTTTCCAACACCCTTTGCTATGTCAGCCGAATTTAGCTCTTATAAATATTTCTTTTTTAGCCAGACAGCCGAAATTGTGTGCTCGGAGTTTTGGGTTCACATTCATTTTGAAGATGCGAGGGCTTCCAGGCATATTAATGACCATTTAGTCTCTCATTGTGTGCAATAACAGCCCGTGTGATGAATTTGGTAAACTGTTTCACTATATCATGCATATATGAATAAGTATAGACGTGTAAGTCACGTGTGACTGTGTATATATGCATTCCGCTGTGCCTCGATACTAACGTGTAGATGGTGTTGCTTCCTCTGCAGAATTGGTCTGATGGAGCAAAGGCACTCGGCGCGACTCGGTGCGACAAGGCAACAATGCGACCGGTGTGCATACAGCACGGATCATCCTGGACATTTGACACGGCACCAGAGAACTCACACAGGGGAGAAACCCTTCAAGTGCAGTGTGTGTGGGAAGGCGTTTGCACTTTCAGCAAATCTTCATGTACACCAGAGAACACACACGGGAGAGAAACCCTTCAAGTGCAGCGTGTGTGGGAAGGCGTTTTCACAGTCATCTACTCTTGTAGCACACCAGAGAACACACACGGGAGAGAAACCCTTCAAGTGCAGTGTCTGTGGGAAGACGTTTTCAGATTCATCTACTCTTGTAGAACACCAGAGAACACACACGGGAGAGAAACCCTTCAGGTGCACTCCGTGCGGGATAGCGTTTGCACGGTCAGCACATCTTCAAGCACACCAGAGAACACACAAGCATCAGAAGATCCACCAGGAGTGGAGTCTGAAATCAGCTTGTGAAAGTCAAAGTGCTGCAATGAGCCCATCTGTCATCAAACAAGAACCGGAAGAAAATCCCAGCTTGGACACTTTTAAAGGTAACGAGGTGGAATATGAAGAGGTGAAGGTGAAATGTGAAGAAGTGATGGTGAAGAGCGAAGAAGTGAAAGTAAAATGTGAAGATGAAGATTCAACTCCAAAATCGGACCTTCACATCGATGGAGGCAACGTGAAGCAGGAGGAGAATTCTGACTGTGAGGCAGAGCGAGGCAACTCCCAGCAGTTTGTGTGGGTGGACTTCATAGACAATACAAAGTGAAATGGTTACCCGGTAGATGTGTAAGCTTGAGACGATGTCGGTCTAAGCCAGGGGTCCTCAAACTTTTTAAACAGGGGGCCAGTTCACTGTCCCTCAGACCGTTGGAGGGCCGGACTATAGTTTAAAAAAAACTATGAACAAATTCCTATGCACACTGCATATATCTTATTTTGAAGTGAAGAAACAAAACGGGAATAAATACAATATTTAAAATGAAGAACAAGTAAAGTTAAATCAACAAACTTGCCAGTATTTCAATGGGAACTATGGGCCTGCTTTTGGCTAATGAGATGGTCAATGTCCGGTTCCATATTTGTCACTGCTCGTCGTAACAAGTGATGCAAGTGTGCATCCATTAGTCTAGATCTGGTTGGAGATTTCAAATGTTTCATTCTGGAAAAAGTCTGTTCACAGACATAAGTGCTGCCAAAGATGGTTGCCATTTTGAGTGCATGGTTCCTGAGATGAGGATATGTTTCAGAGGGGAGAGATGCATAGAAATTATGAAGGCTGCTTGACTTGAATGCGTCTTTCAGAGAGTCACAATTCTGCAGTTCAGCCAGTTCCATTTGGTAAATTGTATCCACATTTTCAATGTCAATAGAAAATTGGTTACGGAAAAGCTGTATGTCCTGTTCATGGAGATGAAGCTCTTTAAATCCAAATTGGAACTCCTTTTGCAATTTTTCCAGTGAATCCACACGTTTTGTTTGGGAATGCAACCAATGGTTTTTCCGCTAACAGATTTTGAGTTGTGGGGAGATGGCAGAAGTTTTCCTCCTTCACTTGTTTGATGAGGAGGCCTAATATTACTTCAAATGCTTTGACATGTGATTGCATATAACAGATGAGCTTCCCCTTTCCTTGAAGTTGCACATTGAAACTGTTGAGTAGCTCTGTTACATCTGTCAGAAAGGCAAGGTGCCATTTCCATTCTGCATCATTGAGCTCTGGTACTTCTTTGTTTTTTTAAAGCAGAAAAGCTGTCATAGAAACGTTTCAAAACTCTCCCTCGACTCAGCCAACGGACTTCTGTGTGATACAGAACATCTTCATAGTCAACATTTAGCTCAGACAGAAATGCTTGAAATTGTCTGTGGTTTAGTGCATGAGCTCTAATGAAGTTAACACAAGATACCACAAATTTCATAAGAGTCCCACTTCAGTGATTTACTACACAGCGCTTGTTGGTGGATGAGGCAGTGTATGGCTATTGGATGAGAATGGTTATGTTTGTCCATCTCTTGGTTAATGCGAGCAATTACTCCTTTCTTAGACCCCACCATGCTAGGAGCACCATCAGTTGTCACACTGGCTAGTTTAGCCCAGTTCAGCTCCAAACCATTCACAGTTTGGCAAACCTTTTCATAGATATCCTCTCTTCTTGGTTTTTTCGGTAAAGTCACGTAGAAGGGAAGTAATAAAATAATAAAAATAAAACATAATAAAATAATTCTCACGACGTTTCGGCCACAACGCAAGCAGCCGTCCTCAGGTGAAAGCCAGGTCTGTCGGGGAGACAGCGTCTGAATGAAACCACACGAGCTTGGAGCATATATAAGCTGGGTTGGAAACGGGGGAAAGAGCGCCTTGACAAATAATTTGTATATCAAGAGGAATTTAGCATATTTATGGGACATGCAGGAATGTTATTAGTAGCACGGGCATATGTAGTACTAATCACATTCCTGCATTTCCCATAAATATGCTAAATTCCTCTTGATATTGAAATTATTTTGTCAAGGCGCTCTTTCCCCCGCTTCCAACAAAGCTTATATATGCTCCAAGCTCGTGTGCTGTTTCATTCAGACGCTGTCTCCCCAACAGACCTGGTTTTCACCTGAGGACGGCTGCTTGCGTTGTGGCCGAAACGTCGTGAGAATTATTTTATTACTTCCCTTCTATGTGACTTTGCCGAAAGAACCAAGAAGATGAGTCCCTGCAGTCACGAAAGCTTTAAATCGAAAGATATCCTCTCCTGTAGTTGTTCCTTTGATGCTTTGCAGTGCAGCAAGCTCTTCTGTGACTTCGAAATAGTCATTCGTCGCACGAATAAAAATTTGAAGTTGTGCAGAATCACGAACATCATTGCTTTCGTCGAGTGCCAAGGAAAAATAGGAAAGTTTTTTGTGGAGTTTTGCAAATGCTGATGCAAATTGTTTCCCATTTCTTCAATCCTCCGTGTAATTGTAGGTCCTAAAATACTCACTGTACTAAATAAATCGGCCTTCTCTGGACACATCTCTTTGGCAACAGAAAGAAGGCATTCTTTAACAAATTCTCCCTCCACGAATGGTCTGCCAGTGCACGCTATTAGCTTGGAAACTTGAAAACTTGCTCGCAGTGATGAAATATTTAGCTGCTTCTGCTTCACTAAACTATTTCGCTGAGTTGTTAATGTATTTTTCAGTTTTAATATTTTATCTTTTCTCACTTCTCCGACTAAACAAGCATATGTATCTTTATGTTGAGTTTTATAGTGTTGACGTAAATTGTATTCTTTGAACACAGACACTATATTCTGGCATATCAGACACACAGCTCTTTCCTTGTACTGCATGAACAAATAATCATAAGTCCACTGTTCTTTGAATATCCTACACTCCGAGTCAATTTTTCTCTTTCTTGACATCATTGTTTCCTAGGGAGTCAAAATTGCTATTAGTAAAATACCAATATATACAGCGCTACAAAAACAATATACCAGCAATAACTTTGCCCACACAGAGACATACAGACTGCACTGCCCATCAATGCAGTCTGATTGGGGGGAACTCCGCCCCCTCTCCCTCTTCCACCAATGACCGTCCTTCTCATGTAGAAAAAAAGTAACAGACAGGCAGCGGCGGCAAAAACACCCGGCGGGCCGGATAAATGTCCTCGGCGGGCCGCATGTGGCCCGCGGGCCGTAGTTTGAGGACCCCTGGTTTAGACCTTTATGCATGTAGGTGTGTGTGTGCGTGCGTGTGTGCTGCGTCGATGGTGTTGGTTGCACCACACCCTCGTGCCAGCCTTCATTGGTGCACCCTCGCAACACTTGTCCCAAGAGTCGACGCGGGCTTCACGGGCGATCTTTGTCATTGCGTGCGTGTGTATGATAGAGGGCAGCGTGTGTATGATAGGGGCAGCGTGTGTATGATAGGGGCAGTGTGTGTGTGATAGGGGCAGTGTGTGTATGATAGGGGCAGCGTGTGTATGATAGGGGCAGTGTGTGTGTGATAGGGGCAGTGTGTGTATGATAGGGGCAGCGTGTGTATGATAGGGGCAGCGTGTGTGTGATAGGGGCAGCGTGTGTGTGATAGGGGCAGCGTGTGTGTGATAGGGGCAGCGTGTGTGTGATAGGGGCAGCGTGTGTGTGATAGGGGCAGCGTGTGTATGATAGGGGCAGCGTGTGTGTGATAGGGGCAGCGTGTGTGTGATAGGGGCAGCGTGTGTATGATAGGGGCAGCGTGTGTATGATAGGGGCAGCGTGTGTGTGATAGGGGCAGCGTGTGTGTGATAGGGGGCAGCGTGTGTATGATAGGGGCAGCGTGGTGTATGATAGGGGCAGCGTGTGTATGATAGGGGCAGCGGTGTGTGATAGGGGCAGCGGGTGTGTGATAGGGGCAGCGTTGTGTGTGATAGGGGCAGCGTGTGTGTGATAGGGGGCAGCGTGTGTATGATAGGGGCAGCGTGTGTGTGATAGGGGGCAGCGTGTGTATGATAGGGGGCAGTGTGTGTGATAGGGGCAGTGTGTGTGTGATAGGGGCAGTGTGTGTATGATAGGGGCAGTGTGTGTATGATAGGGGGCAGTGTGTGTATGATAGGGGCAGTGTGTGTATGATAGGGGCAGTGTGTGTATGATAGGGGGCAGTGTGTGTATGATAGGGGGCAGTGTGTGTATGATAGGGGCAGTGTGTGTATGATAGGGGGCAGTGTGTGTATGATAGGGGGCAGTGTGTGTATGATAGGGGCAGTGTGTGTATGATAAGGGGCAGTGTGTGTATGATAGGGGGCAGTGTGTGTGTGATAGGGGCAGTGTGTGTATGATAGGGGCAGCGTGTGTATGATAGGGGGCAGCGTGTGTATGATAGGGGCAGCGTGTGTGTGATAGGGGGCAGTGTGTGTATGATAGGGGCAGCGTGTGTGTGATAGGGGCAGTGTGTGTATGATAGGGGGCAGCGTGTTGTATTGATAGGGGCAGCGTGTTGATAGCGTGTGTGTGATAGGGGGCAGCGTGTGTATGATAGGGGCAGCGTGTGTATGATAGGGGGCAGCGTGTGTATGATAGGGGCAGCGTGTGTATGATAGGGGCAGCGTGGAGCGGAGCGCGCGCGGCTGCGTGGATGGAGAGAGCGGAGGAGGAGGAGCTGGTGGTGGGTCGTGGTGGCTGTGGGCCGCCCACGTGATCCTGGGGGCTCAAGGGTAGAATGCCACGTGGGAATGTTGTGTGAGTCCCAGGGCAAATTGTCCCTGCTGATGCCCCCAATACCCCCCCCCCCATCTGCACGGCTCTGTGTGGTGGCGAAGTGGAGGTGGTGGACAATCCAGAGGGTGTTGCGTGGATGAAGATTGAGATGAGTAGAGCGTACGGTGTTAGTGACCGTGAAGAGGAGTGAGTGGTGGTGGTAGTTGGGAGTCGTGGTGGTTAACAGTCGACACGAATGAGGCGCGTGATTTGTTTGTTGAAATTCCTTCGCGCCGTACGTTGCCAACCTGCTCACAGGAGGTGCGGGGAAGACGACGCTGCCGATTGATCCTCGCAGCTGCAGGTGAAGGAGATGGTGCTGCACACTCGCGCCGTGCCAGGCCAGCGTGGGGCAGTGGAGCGGGGGTCGGGGTGGGCAGCTTGGAGCGACTGCTGCGGAGGTGGTCGCTGGCTGACGAGGGGTGATTGGGGGGCACTGGGACACGGGGGGCCATGAGAATCTTGGGACCTGCTCCCCCTCCCCCCTCCCACACCCGCGCCGATATCATCCCGCACAGACAATGACAAATGTCAAGAGAGGTACGGGGGGGGAGGGGCGGGTTTGGTCTCGGGGGTCACGACGCCGATCGTGGAGGAGGGGGCAGTGTCTCTGGGGACGCAGGCAACGAGGGCGCGCGCCAAAGACACAAAGACAAAGATCACCCGTGTAGCCTGCACAGGCTGTTGGGGCAAGTGCTGTTAGCGAGCACCTATAAGGCCGGAACGGTGGAGGAGGGGGTGGGAGGCCAGCACCACGCCCGGCCGCCTTTATCTCCCCAGTGGCGATGTTTACACACCGCACCAGGTACTCATTTGAGGCTGAGTCGACCCGGGGGAGGCGCAGTGCCGGTTCAGATAATCGTCGCTGGTTTTGGCCGTGAGCGGGAATATAACTCGGGGATCCGGGTTCGTAGTGCAGCGCGCTAACCGCTGCACCACCACTCCTCGCCACACTGACACACACACTGACACACAGCCTGACACACACACTGACACACACTTTTTAGGACAAAAATATATTTAATTACCAATTGCTTAATGGTGCAATGCAATCATCTGACCCATAGGTGGCAGCCATCTCAAGCCAGAGGACGAGAGGACTCTAGCCGCCACGCATATAAAGGATTTATAGTGAAAAACTTTGTTTTTACGGGTTCTACTTGTTTTTTATTTGAAGCGTAAATTATAGGAGGCGGCTATTTTATCTCGCTCCGTGTCTCGCTCCGTCGTTATTGCCGATATCAACCGTGTGGCCGGCACGGACGAGGAACGCGAGCAGTGCGGTCCGCGTTGCGCGAGAGATGCCGACGAGAATTGGCAGCAGAAAGAACTCCGATTTGCCACGGCGTCGTCCGGGTTTTGTTTATTCGTT